CGTATATCTATATGATTATATAGTCCTGTCCTCTTTTTTTGTTGTTGTTTTTAAATTCAAATTTAGTGTGCATTTATTGAGCACCCACTCACTGAACAAGTCATTATGTTAGACAGGAAGAGAAAAGATAAGTGACACGTGGCATCTTTCCTTGGGAATTCCATAACTTAGAGTTGGGGACACAAGTACATAAGTACTTGTAAAGTCTAGGGCCCTGATATATTTTAGTATACGTACTGTCAAAGCAACCACAGTCAAGGACCTTATTAATCCTCCTCAAAAAACTTTTTTTTAATTCTATGGTAGAGCCATTTCCCATGCAGAGCAAGACCTTCATAAGAGCATCAGAGGCACAACAGCACTGAAAGACAGCAAAGGTGAGAGTAGAGTCCTCCATCTTAGGAGGAAAAGTGTAGGTAGAGGCTGAAAACAACTAGAAAGGGCTAGAGTGAAATTTCTGGGGAAGTTGGACAGTGGGTGCACGTACAGTATAAAAATAAAAGGAGCACAGTGAGAGACCACCTTCAAATGGTAGAGTGAAACAATTTTAATAATTTTACCCATACATAAGAAATACGGTAATAAATTCAACACGTTCTAGTCCCCTTGAAAAGAAGTCACTAAGAAAGGAACAGTATTCACCATAAGAAGTTAAGACAAAGTTGGTAGTAGTGGAATGGATGTAGCCTCGCCTCCATGCTTGGTGACAGCTGAAGACAATTGCTACATGGCCCATCCAAAGTGTGTGTGTAGCCAGGGATTTAGCTCAGTGGTTCTGCCTCCCACCTTGTAAGCACAAGGACCTGAGTTTGATCCCTGGTACCTAAAAAAGGACTCTGCCAAAGTGTGTGTGGAATGCTTGAGGATCTGCTGGGTTCTGCCCAGCCAGAGCCCTTACAGCCCAAGATCAGCTGCAGTTTGCAAGTGTTAGGTCTGTTTTACCATCCTGCAGTGGTAAGAGTGGGATAATTTATGCTCTATGGCTTCATAGTCCTCTGTGGAGGTTGCCAAAGAAAGCATGGTTTGAATAAAATTCTGAAAAAAAAAAGCAAAAATAAAATAAAATAAAAAATTTAAAAACTCAAGTCCATTTTGGCACGGGGATGAGATTTCATATCCAGAACCTCCCTAGGTTCTGCCATTTAATCATTCTCCAGGATACAGGGCTGTGACAGGTTACAGTGGACAGTGATAGGCACCATCTTCCATTAGGCAGGTGAAGAGTAACGGGGCTCGGGTCTGAGTCACAAGAGAACAGTGGAAAATATTACCAATAGCTGACCTTCTTCACACCCAGGGACGTGGCAGCCTTCCTCTGTTCATTTTATGCTGCTGTGGGGAGAATGACAAAAGACAGATGCTTCTTGTTGGAATGCTAGCTGTTTCTAGTCTAGACACATTGATTGTAGATTCTTTGAGCTATCTTGAGCTTCTTCTTAGTTTTCAATGTCTTACAAATGATGTTGAAATTTCCCATTACATGAATACAAGGAGATCTACGGCAGAGTGTTTGAGTTTGTTTTTTTAAGTGTTATATCACAGATGGTGTCCTTGGACCAAAAGTCTTAGAACTGAGAAAGGAGGAATTTTTTGTAAACAAGTAAACTGTAAGTTCTTGTAATGAGACACAAAATACATAATCTGGCCTGGCTTCTAGCTCCCATGAGCCTTGGTCAAATCTAAAGACATGTTCACATCCATTGGAAAGCTTGACAGAAGCACACCAGGATAATCCCCAAGAGCACAGCATGCCACACTGCAGTTATGACAGAGGAAATCACCTCCTCTCCAGGTTCTGAGGACCCCAAGGAACCCCAGGCCACTGCATGGCAGAAAAGATGCCCTTCAGAATCCTTGTAGCCATGCACCATTCTCCTCCATAGGCCTCTTACCCTGTTTTCAGAAGGATAACAAAGAGAAACTGGAAAGGTGTGATGCACTGCAGCATTTCCATCGTGTCAAAGAGCAACAGCAATGGACTAGTCTCTCACACACACTTAGTTTTCTTACAAGGATCCCATTATTACTAACAGGCAAATCATAGATACAATTTGCAAAGTGATTCATTTTTCTCTTTCTCTACAAGTCATACATTTAGTTCAACTTTATAATTCATTTTAGTATATCATGTTACATTTACTTTCCCGAATATGAGCTTGTGAATGTTTTTTTCTCTTCCTCTAAAATTGTAAATTCTCTTGATTCACTCTATGCCCTCCCTCTACTGTGTAAGATTCTCATTTGTTTGCTATGCCCCTGAAGAACTCTCTTTGCAATATGTGAGGGCTGAGGAGAGGATAAGCACACTGGAAATAGGATCTTTGCCTGTGGTATACATGTGTAGGCCATGTGTCTCACATAGGTGAGAAGTCTTTGGGAAGACTTCTTCCAAAATGAATTGGAAGAACCCATTCAATTTTCTTCTATATACTATATATATATATATATATATATATATACATACACAGTGTGTGTGTGTGGCATAACAAAATTATGTTTCTAAAATACTTTTCACAATGTCACTTATGAACATAAAGATTATCTTCAAACTCTTCAGCTAAATTAAGCAAGAATTATTTTTCTACTTTATGAGGGAATATTGGAATAAGAAATTTCTCAACTCTTCCAGCTTCCTCAAGTTCAGAAAGTGAATCCCATCATTCCTCAGACCCACTGCCTCTCCCAGACTTTCTCTGGTTCTCTACCATGTATAAACCAATGTTCTTGGCCCTTTGTTTGATCTTCAAATCATTGTTGGATGAATCAGTCATAAGAGTTGGACATTGTGTTCAGAGAATATGATAAATTTATCAAGATTTGTTGAATCTGCAAAACCCTCTTGGCATTCATAACAGAATAACTATCTTTTATCCCCAGATGACTTCAACAAATCTAAGATTTGTGTGGGGAAATGATACAGCTTTCCACTTGCCCTGAGAGAACCCCATCTTGACATACCTCTCTTCTTTCACCCAGGTTGTCCTCTCAATTTGATCTGCCTTTCTTTCCTCCCTGTCTTCTGAAAGGGCTCTTAAAAGCATCATATAAAGCTCAATTTGACTATCATAATCTCCTTCAGCAAGACTTCATACACTTTCTCCAGTTCTGCCTTCTTCACAAAGCCCCAGTTTTGTTCAGGTCTCCACTCACTCCTCTCCCACCAGACATGTGCTTTAATCTTGGTTCACTCCACCTCTAGAAAAAGGCATAATCAACCTGGGTATCATCTGTTTCTTTGCCAGAAATTGGATAGCGAACTGTCATGTGGCCTGGGCCAATCAGACAAGAGAAGAAGCATATGGGGCTCTTGGTCCTCAGTTAAATCCAAGGAGAAGATTGTCAAGTCTCCATCCTCTGGAAGTGCATTGCCTAGCATTGACCTCAGGGTGGTTGCCTTCCTCTCAGAAGCAAGCAAAGTAGGCCATCTGACTTCTTAGTCACATCCAGTGGCCGTTTAAATCTGAGAGTCTCAATTTCCTTTTTTTTCAATGAGGAAGTTAACCTCATTTATCTGTAGCTTTTTTCCACTTTTAGAATACCATGATAGAAAAGGACCTAGGAAGTGAAAAAAAGGATGGATAATTGTAACAATAGTTCTAAAAGAAAAAACAACTGAAGCCATTAACACAAGCAATTTGCTTTTTAATAATAAGGTGACCTCAACTCTCCAGGGTAAGAAATGAGTACTAATGTTAGTGTAACCATGAAGATATTCTTACATTCTCTCCCTGAAGTGAAGCTATTTCATTTGGTAAATGGTTTCTACAAAAATTAAGTAAAAAGAGTACAAGTTTAGGAATGGAAAATTTTTTTCTTCTTAATTTTAAGTTAAACTATTTCCCCCTTCCTTGTGTAATTGCTCCAAAGCCACCCATGAAGACCAAAAGAATTAGTAAATGGTAGAGTAGTTATACTGAAAAATTAAAGAAAAAATGCAGGACTTCTGTGCCTGAGGTAAAGTAGATTTTAACTGGCTTTAAAATGCTAAAAGAATTAAGTTGAAGCACCATCTAGTGGTTCTTAAATGTGTTTTGATGAAAATTATTCCCAATTTTCCACAATTTGAGACACAATTGATTTCTTATGCACATATATGGGTATGCATATGTATGTTCAAAATGTTAAAACAATTGTTTTTTTCTCCCATGTGTATGTAAGTATAAGAGACAGGGATTAGGGGAGAGTAGCTGTAGCTTTTTTATTCTTCCAATTTAATGTCATCCAGAAAGCCACAGATATGAGAATGGGACAGAGAAAGATGATGAATCTACATCAATCTCCCCCACTAATGAGCGGATTTCATTCAATGTGACAGTAATTAAGGCAGTCAAGGTGGCTCACACCTGTGATCTCAGCGACATGGGACAGTTGAGGGAAGAGGGCCTCAAGCCCCAGACTTGCTCAGCTAGTGAGACGCTGTCCCAAAACTTACAACAGGGCTGAGGATGTAGCTCAGTGGTGGAGCAATTGCCTAGTCTGAGCAAGGCCTGAGTTCAGTCCTCATTACCCGAAGGAGAGAAAAAGAACTAGCACAATAAAGTCCATGAAGTATCACAGACCTCACTCAGTTCTTCTTTTTTCTACTCATATCCTCTCCAAGAGCACGCACGTGTGTCTTCATCTTCCTAATCCTGCAGTGCAGACATGTCGTCACATGTCCAGGGACTGGCTGGCTGGCTACTGGACTATCCTTGCACACCCCCAGGCTCCCAAGTCCTTTCCCACCACAAGCCCGCAACTTCCCTTGAATGTGAATGCAAAAATTCTTCCATAATTATTAGTGATAGCACCCACATTTATGATGCCTAGCTTCTGAAATTATGTCCAATTCATTACCTCTAAGCAAGAGCAAAAACAGGCCATAACATGCATATGAGTAGAACACAACCTGTTGTAGCAATGTTGACAGAAAACCTTCAAATTGACCAATTAGGCATTGGTACCAATTAGAATTAAATTCAGCACTATGTAGGAAAAAATCCAAAACAGAAGCAGCATGGACAAAATAGTTTATTCTCTCTCTCTCAAAAGATCAATAGGTATAGTGTAATGATTATCACTCCGTGATTATCAGGCCCAGGATCCTTCTATCATTCTTTCCCCCCATCTTAGTGAGTAACTGCCATCCTCAGTGTTATCCACGGTTCAAGTTGGCTGATGGAGTTTCACTCATCATACTGGAAATAAGCAGGAAGCAAAAATAACCTTTTCTTTCTCTTTAAGAAGATTTTCTGAAAATGTCACACAAGATTGATGCTTGTATCTCATTTTCCAAAACTGATGGGTATACTGAGCTGCAACAGAAACCAAGAAATGCTTTTGTACATCCCAATAAACAAATCAAATTTGAGTTATGCTGGTAAGCAACACATTGGCCACCCCCTGCTGCAATAATGCTGTATAATAAGCAATCACAGAACCTAGGTGGTAACAATGTTCATATGTCTAGGATCAGAAGGTATCAGGTCTGATAATCTTTTTTCTCTCAAATTCTTTTATTGGTACATTTTAGGTATACAATACATTTACATTCATCATTGGGAACTTGTACCCTCTACATGATGAATCTTGGTTCTTATTTTTCCCCATTCCCCTGCCCTCCCTTAAGCCCCTCCAACCTCCCTATGCAGAAGCTTTGTTTCCATTTATTTCTTATCTCATTTTTTTCCATTCACTTCTTTCCTTTCCCCTACCCCTCAGTACCTTTTCTTCCTATTTCACATTATCAGTTATTCATTTTAATTCTTATTTACACTTTCAGTCTCTCATAGCAGAGAAACTAACTCATCTTCCTTACCTGACTGGGGATGACTGTTGGATCACCTATGCTAGCTTCGATGAGAATTGGGGAAGTTGGACTGAGGTGACTCAGCTGTGTTCTCTATGATTCTCATTCTCTAGAAGGCAAGGGGGGCTTCTCTTCATGGAGAAGCGAGCAGCAGCACGCAGGACCTCTTAAGACCCACACTCAAAATGGGTACACCGCAAATTACACAGGGCAGGTAAACATGTATTCTGGTTAGGGAAAAAAAACTTTGAAGTTGACTGAAATATTATATGATTAGAGAAACGGGAAAGATTTAGAGATGTGAATATAATCCTTTGCTGTAAGAGGAAGCCATTGGACCAGGCAACTTAGGACCTGACCAGGCAACTTGCAAAAGACCTGAGGAGCATGGTAAACTACCCAGAGCTATTAGTGTTCTGTTGCTGAAGCATTTTCCTGTTCAAACTGAGAAGGCATGTCATTTCACTTTTGCTAATAGGAGCTCACTAAGGGAAAGCAGAGAGTAGATAAGTCATCCTTGGCATTTATCGTGGCAAGGGCCGAGCTTTTGCATGGGTGTATCCATGGTGTTCAAGAGGCTGAAACAAGTTTTGCTAGCAATTACATGGATTCCCATAAAACACTAAGGCCACAAATATGGTGATGTGATATATCACAACATGTGGCAGCTCTTACCTAGCACTTGGAGGTGATACACATTGTGGAAATTCCCGTTAGATGTTACTATTTCACAGGTGTACATTCCATCATGAGAGACAGCCACTGCATTAATCTGAAGGTGAGGACTCAGGTCAGGTCTGGAGGCCCAGGTTATTCTCCCATCAGTGCAGTTGGCGTGGATGGTCTCATTTGTTTCTTTTTTATAGGCTCTTGTGCAGAGAGGCTGGCTTCTGAGGGCTATTTTCCATGTTATTACCACGACACTTTCCAGTAGGACAGGAGGGCAACAGAGCACAGCTCTTGTGCCCATGGGTACATGCTCCAAAAAGTGAACTGGACACACACACACACACACACACACACACACACAAAGAAATAAGAAAAACAAACTTCATAAAGATCTTTGTATGTTAACCTTCATCCAAAACATATAACATGAAATTGCATTACCACATTGCTTTGCTGGTGATCATGTCAGAAATAACAGACTTATGTAAGAAATAAATATTCATAAAAGATACATAATATATATTACACATGAAAATAAATGCAAATATTAAACAATTTTCTTCTATATTTTACATAATTTAATCAAAATATTATATATATTATAAATATTATATATGTATTAAATATATTTTGAAATTATCAAGAATTTTTATATTTAAGAATAAGTAATTCTAAATTAAATGTTCTAAAATGTAATATTTTGAAGATTTGCAATATTGGATTTATCACACAATTCAAGCTCCTCAGAAAAGAAAATGCTCCCCAGAAAAGAAAATGCAATAGTTATGTGGTGTTTGCTCCTGAGTTTTAGTAAGTGCAAAAAAACCAATATCATCAAAACTAAATCACAAAGTGTGACTTTCCAGCCAACATATATATGGAAAGTATATGGTACTTTCATTGAAAGCCCTAAAGTAGAATTCAGGTTGAACTAGTTTAAAATGCAAACTTTTAAGAGCATAATAAATGATATCTACAGATCTTAAAATAATCTATAATTTCATTAGCTTAGCTATCCCATGAAAATCAAAACTGATGATGCCTAGAAGTATCTCTTCTGGTGAAACAGTAGCATGATGCATAATTTTTTTTAAAAAAGGAAAGGCCAGATTTATTTTCCTTTGAAATTTTTCCTAAAAATAATTTTGTACAAAATGTTTGATACTACTGAGTAACTTTTGCAGAAGTTTTTCTTCCTTTGTTTAGTCACATGTATGTTACCAAACAGTTCATCTGTGAATTTTCTCATCAATTTTGTTCCTATATTCAATCTAATTATTTGCATTAAATTTACAAATGGACCCTTTGTGTTCAACTTTTAAAATAAAGATTAAGCCCTGTAACCTACAAGCCTCTTCCAACCCAGAACCTCATGCTCCCCACAAACTGACATAAGATGTCTGTGACTGCTAGGGGCTTGAGGCAGGTGATTACTGAACCAAACACCTGTCACAACTCGCTCCTGGCAAAGGTGAAGATCAGTGATGTTGTCACTTTAATAGGAACAAAACCACCTATGGTTTTGCAGACATGTTGTAATGAACCTTGATTTTGCCAAATGCTTTACTGAATATTTCTCCTTTCCTGTTTTATTGTCACTTATCTCATCTGGGTGCCAAACCCTGGTATTTCATGGCCAGAGAAAGATCATGTAACTAGATGAAGACAGAGGTAGGACTTGAACGTATCTTGCCACTATCCCAAGTAGGCAAATATTCAGAAGCAAGCAAGACCGTATGGAGAACATCTGGAGAGTGGGTCTTTCAGAGACCCGTATACCAAGCACTCAGACCAACATGTTCTTCAAGCAGTCAGAGGGCTGGGCTTCAGACAGGGCACCAGCTGCTGTGTCTAACAAAGGTCAACCCTCCATCCCTTCGATGCTGCCCACTAGATACGAAAGTGTATTACCTTCTGTAAGGGTGGAGTGTGGCGGTCCAGCCGTCACTACACGAACATGCCTGAGTCGGGGAGTGAGGATTGAGAAAGGAAAGAACACTCAGGCCTGGGTGGAGACGAAGAGAAGTCTGATTTATTTCACAGAAACAGCTCCTTTTATAGGTTCACATCAACAGGAAGCACCAAGTAACTATTTGTATCTTTTATGCAAAGACCGGATTTTCTGACTCTTTGCAAAGAACATCAGATCTTTGGCTGTCTCATTGAGTTTCTCCCATTGCAGCAACAAGCTTAACAAGCAGAGTCCTAGAATGTTACAGATTGTATCAATGCCTTGAATGTAGAGGTGAAGAAGTTTCCTTTTAAATGTCAAACTCCTAGAGGGCCAAGGCCAGGCTCCCACAGTGGAGGAATTGTTCTCTATCACCTGCTCTCCATTCACACATGAATTAGCTGAATCTAGAAAATATTCAGGAAAGAGCAAGTGAAGTTAATTTTTGATATTCCAATAGAGTGAGCAGAAGCCACTGTTTATTCTCAAAGTCTTACTCAAAAGGCAACGAGGTAACTGAAATTAATAAAAATGATTTCAAAATTAAAAGTTATTTCATTCTGGGATACATGTTAATATCTAGAAAACTAAATTCATAAAGTATTAATCAATGATTTTCCACTTATGAGACCTCTATTTCTGTCATCAAGGTAAACTTGTCTCTCTCCCTCTTTCCAACCCTCTTTCCCAGCCAGGAGTGCCTGTTGAGGGGAACCCTATTCCGAGTTGGTCTGATTAAGCTTTTTTCTGCATCTCCACTCCCTCATTAAAGTTCTTTGGAGCATGGTTGGGCATCTCATCCAGATGAACAAAATGCTGTCTTTTCACAGGAATGTTACAATCAGAACTGAGAAGGCATGCATTTCTCTTTCTTCCTTATTTTTTATACTTTGAAAGCGAAAATTAAAAAAATATGCAGACTCTGAGGAACACATATGAGGATCCTTACCTACTCCAACTTCCTAGTTCCATAGATCCTGAAGCCCACATGCATTCCTTCCCTTTGGTTTGACAGAATTTATCATCAGGATAGACTTAATCACCTTGAAACTTGGTTATTAAAAACTTGCTGTACTTTGGGTTTTTTTTTAAAGCCATGATACAATGAACTGGAAGGAACTAGGATTGTTTTGTTATTATAAAGTACACTACCCATGAATTAATATAGTTTCACTTGAAGGTGAAGCTGGACTAATTGCAAATGTGTGTTGCAGAAGTCTGAAAGTAACAAAATAAGTATAACTAATATCCTAAACAAAAGGAAATAAAATGAAATCATATAAAATATTCAATTAAAGTCACACAAAGTTACACAGTGGTGTATTTTCCCACAAAAAAAAAAAAATCCTGTGATTCACAGGTAGTTGGATATAACTAGAGAACATCATCTCTAGCGAAATAACCAGATACAGAAAGACCAAAATTGCTTGTCCTCTGTCACATGGGAGATTAATGATGACCTGGAAGTAGAAATTGTATTATTAGTGCAGGGGGTAAGGGGTAGGGGGATTAAGGTCAAAGAAGCTGGGATGGATATGATCAATGCTTGATGTACACATAGATGGAAATAGTACCATGAACCCCTAGTAATTTGTACAATTAACATGTCTCAATAATTATAAAAAGAAAAAGAAAACTATAAAAAACAGAATAGAACGGAAGGTGTATGAACAAAAACATGGGCAATGAGCAGTAAACAGGAATAGCAGAGATTAATCAAATATACAAGCAGTCACTCTGAGCATCAGATGCACCAATTTATCAGGGTATTGGGATGGATCAAAAAGCAAGATCTACCTATATGTCGTCTACAAAAATTCATCATAAATATAAGGACAAATAGAATGAGTCACTGTTATACATGGAAAGGTCAGCACTTCTCTATCAGAAATAGACAAATCCAGAATGCACAGAATCAGACAAGACATAGCTGAATTCAATAAAATCATCAAGGAATTGGATGTAACTGACATCTGTGGAAGTCTTCCTACAACAGCAGAATGTAGGTAACTTCCAGGTTTACATGAACTTGTGCCAAAATCAAGCAGGAGTCATTATGTTAATTTTGGACAGAGCATTCATGAGAGTTCTTCATCTCTCATAACATTCCTTGCTCTGAATTCTTCTCTGCCTAAAATAAACCACATTCGGAGCCATGAAACAACATCTAATCAAATCAAGATGACAAAAATTATATATACAATGTTTGCTTTCAGACAACATGGAATTTAATTAGAAATCAATAACAGAAAGGTGGCTGAAAAAAAATCTCAAAATGATTAGAGATTATACCACGCACATCTAAATAATGCATGGATAAAAGAAGAAATCTTAAAAACTCTGAACTAAATAAAAATATAATTCAAATTTTGTGAGAAGTAAAAAAGTATTACTTACAGGGAAATCTAAAGTATTGAACAGATATGTCACAAAAGAAGAAAGCTTTAAAATTCACCCTTAAAACTCCAGCATAGAATACGCAAAGCAGAAGAGCAGATTAAAGTCAAAGAATCAGAAAATAATTAATAAAATTAGAGCAATTATCAACAAAACTAAAAAAGAAAATCAACAAATTCCCAGCTGGTTCAATGAAAAGAAACTAATAGGCTACATAGTGAGTTCAGGCCTAAAATGAACTTCAAAGTGAGACTCTATCACCTAAAATGTACTAATAAACTCAAAAAGAAAAGAAAAGGGAAGGAGAGAGGAGGGCAGGGCAGGACAGGGCAGAGAAGATCTTTCCCAACACACCTGTTCTAAGAGATCAGAGATGAGAGATTTAGGGAAGCTTCCTTATAACAGACAAAATTTGGGCTGAATCTTAGGATATAAAATTTCCAAAACAAGAGAAAGAACAGGAAATTGCAAACCAAACTAATGGCATTTAATGAAAGCATAAGACCAAATGGGAATTTCAAAGGGCTACAAATAGTTCAATATTGCCATGAAGGAAGAAAACTGAATGTTATTTGAGTTGAGACCAGATAATCTCTAAGAAAAGAAATCAATAAACACGAGACAAGCTGTATAAAAATTTAAAAACAGAAAAGATGGTACTTTTTAAATAATCATCAACATTTATAAACCAATAACTACTCTGACAAAGAAACAACACAAATTTCTAATGTTAGGAATGAAAGAAGGACCACTAATATAGACCACTCATGAAAGAAATAATGATAGAATATAATTGAATAAATTGAATTTGTTGATAAAAACTCACAATTTAAAGAAGACATTAATGCCAATTTTATATACAAACAGCAAATTAACAAGGAGGGAACACTTTCCAACTAATTTTGTAATGCTACAACTACCTATTTATCAAAAGCAAGGAAAAAAAATAAAGGATATATATCAAAAACAACGATGT